GGATAAACTAGAGGGGACGGGGCTGACGACACATCGCTTGGTGTTTCTCGATGTGTCTTGGGTGCTAGCCCTGCCCCTCTATTTATATGTTGAGCCTTGGGGTCGAAACTTGGAGTAAAATCCTCCATAAAGTTGGTTTCATCCGAAAGGCAAGATTCCTTCTCGGACTCCAGGGCCAGACGCTAGGGTTCTAGGCGTCTGGACCCAGACGCCAGGGACCTTGGCGTCTGTCTCCTAGACTCCGCAAAACTTCCTTTTGCGCTTTCCAAAAACCTTGTGGGATTTCCCCTTTGGTCCAAATAAAGTGTTCTCATACCCAAACATTTCAGGAAACATCTGGAACCCTTCCGGAGACCAAACACTATTATCCCATATATCAATCTTTACCTCCGGACCATTCCGGACCTCCTCATCATATCCATGATCACATCCGAGATTCCGGACAACATTCGGTTACCAACATACATAACTCATATAATACTATATCGTCAACGAACGTTAAGCGTGCCGATCCTATGGGTTCGAGAACTATGTAGACATGACCGAGACACCTCTCTGGTCAATAACCAATAGCGGAATCTGGATGCTCATATTGGCTCCTACATATTCTACGAAGATCTTTATCGGTCAAACCATTATGACAGCATACGTTATTCCCCTTGTCATCGGTATGTTACTTGCCCGAGATTCGATCGTCGATATCTTCATACCTAGTTCAATCTCGTTACCGGCAAGTCTCTTTACTCGTTCTGTAATACATCATTCTGTAACTAACTCATTAGTTACATTGCTTGCAAGGCTTATTATGATGTGCATTACCGAGAGGGCCTAGAGATACCTCTCCGATACTCGGAGTGACAAATCCTAATCTCGATCTATGCCAACCCAACTAACACCTTCGGAGATACCTGTAGAGCATCTTTATAATCACCCAGTTACATTGTGACGTTTGATAGCACACAAGGTATTCCTATGGTATCTGGGAGTTGCATAATCTCATAGTCAAAGGAATATGTATAAGTCATTAAGAAAGCAATAGCAATAAAACTTAACGATCATAATGCTAAGCTAATGGATGGGTCTTGTCCATCACGTCATTCTCTAATGATGTGATCATGTTCATCAAATGACAACACATGTCTATGGTCAGGAAACTTAACCATCTTTGATTAACGAGCTAGTCAAGTAGAGGCATACTAAGGACACTATGTTTGTCTATGTATTCACACATGTACTAAGTTTCCGGTTAATACAATTCTAGCATGAATAATAAACATTTATCATGATATAAGGAAATATAAATAACAACTTTATTATTGCCTCTAGGGCATATTTCCTTCATGTTCCATGGCAGGAAATGCAAGGGGAGGAGGACCTGGAGCGGCCGCTGTCGAGGGAGCGGCTGATGGAGGTGGTTCGCAGATGTCGTATGAGTCAAGGAGGTCTACCGCAAGCGGCCGATGATGGGCGCGCCCGGGATGAGATCTCTGGTGGAAAGATGCGTCGGGGCCCGACCACCTCTCCAGCACGACGTGCCGGCCAATTCTTTCTTGCCCCTCCTTCCACACCGGCTCGCCGTATCACCCACCAGTAAGGCTCTCTCCACTTTCCCTGTTCTCTACTCTTTCCATTGTCTTAGCTTACAGGGCCTGGTTTGGTACTAGCCACTAGCCAGGAGGCGATGAGGTACTAGATCCGCTACCATCATAGTTGTGATTGTAAAACCTAATACATCCAAAGCTGACCGAGATAGACCAGCAATCATTACCATCGACAATGCCTTCCAGGTTTTCCCTTGTATTAAACTACAGGTTACACTCACTATTGGTTAAGTGTCCAAATAGTTTCATGTCAGATTAAGTAGTATAATTAGGTGACAGAAGTAATTAGACAAAGGCCGGTTTGATCCATACACATATGGACTGACGGCGAAAACTACATTTCTTATTCATAGATCTACGTCCGCTTCTCAAAACCATAGTAGGTCGTGCCATATCATGTGTGTTACTTGGTTGTGTCCTTCCTTCGACCAGGCACCTTCATAACCACTTGAGCAGTACTGTAGCACCATGTCTCAGGCTAGAACATACGACTATTGTTCTTACTCATTTGCCGCCTAATTTATATGGTTTTGCTATAAACCAATCCTTTTTGGCAAAATATTGCATCATTGTATACCATAGAAGAACCATCTAAACCAGTTATCCTCGGCTACCGGTACAATTTGCTTTTGTTGTATGATCCTATGTTTGAACAGAGGGCTGCTGTTCTTACTCGTTTGCTTTGTATGGTCATTCTATGGCATAGCAGATTGGTTCTGCTATGAATCGATCCCTAATTTATATGGTTCTTCTATGCTGTTTTTTGAACTAGGCCTAGGCGTTTTTCTGAGAAGCCGGAAAGGAAGCACTAAGGCCCATCTCAGTTATGATAGCAAACAAGGTTTTGTAAATATAGAATTTTTTATGTACTCGATTATACCACTTACATTCGAGAAAAGATTGGTTTTATTTCTGAACTAAACAATAACCAATCCAATGCTTATAAATTTGTTTTTTATTGTGTTTTTGAAGCAAGATTGTAACCATCATTAATGTTGAAGATGCATACATGTTTTGGGAAGATGCGTTTGATTTTTAACCTTTGTGCTATGCTCATCTTCTCTCAGGTGGCTTGAAATAAACGGCGCACATATGTTCGAGGGGTAATGATGACGCGTACGAGGGTTTTCAGTATACGACCATCAAGTCAGATGTTATGGTGACAATCATGAGGCAACTATACATTTACTATGAAGACTGCTCTATGACGGGCCTTTTACTCCAAAAGTGCTCTTTTGATCCCGAGCTCATATGCTCCTGCATGAACAGTAAATTCGAAAAAATAGTAAAAAAATTCAAAAAAAACTGACTTTTTTGTGGTGAACATTGATGAATGTTCTAACTGCATGCAAAATTCCAGGTCGAAATGATATTCGTGGATGTCTGGGCAAAAATAACAAAATCGATACTTCAAAATGCTTCCATCAATAGTTTTTTTGGACCATTGATTTTTTTTGCCTAAACTTCCACGAATGTCATTTCAACCTGAAATTTTGCATGCGGTTAGAAAATTTATCAATGTTCATCACAAAAAAAAACAGATTTTTTTGAACTCTTTTACTATTTATTTTGATTATATTGTTCATACGGGAGCATATGAGCTCGGGATTAAATACTCCATGTCCCTTTTACTCGCTCTTCAATGAAAATTATGAATTATTGTTGCATCTACTAGGGAGACATGCATCTCTCCCTTCCTAAAGAAGAGAGTGCATGTTCTAATGTTGTCAACCTGTAGGTATGTGCATTTATGTATTTATTCAATGAAAAGCACCAAATATTTGTCTTTATGTTTGATAATTGGGTGTCTATAAATTGGCGGAGTAAATACTCCGGTCCGTGACAACTAAGGCTGTGTTTGATAGTAGAGTGCTAAAAAAACCATAATATTAAAAACTACAATATTTTAGCATGAAGCTATAAGATACCACCGTTTTCAGATATCACAACATTTTAGAGTATTGAGAATACTTTGAGCTATTTGGCTAATGTTGTATATCAACGTAAATTAGCTAGCTAGATGTTTTCTCTTAACTACCCAGCTTATCAAAGATGAGGAGGAAATCGAACTGCCGTGCACAACGCTAGTTATGCTGAGGTGACTCGACGTGCCGGCATCGCTGCACTCGCGCAGAGAAAAGTAGGAGCGGAGGTGACTGAATTTTTTATTAGGCTGCAGAAGGCGTATCATTACGGCCGGTATTCTTGAGCTAGGTTTGCCCAGCGTACTCACCATCATTTATCTCTAGCAACGAGAGAGTAGCGGCTGCAGCTTGGGAGTGAACAAGACATAAAGATAGCGATCGGCTCGTTTTTCTCTCATGCTCGGTTTTAAAAAAAGAGGTCCGGGGGTCTTTTTTTTATGCAGAGGTAATACTGTGTTTTGGGGAAAACTGTAGTATAAATACTTTACTTTTTTGTGGAGGCCAAACATCTCAAAGTAAATTAAACCGTGGTATTTGGAAAAACTGCGATATTTTTTAAATACTTAGAAAATGCAGAGTTATCAAACGGCGCCTAAGCTTTCTAGGGTTGTATTATCTACATTGCGCTTGAAACCATTTCGTGTATACTGGGTTTATTCAGTTGTAATATCGAGTTTATGAAACTATCTTATAAATTATTGCTTCTCGAGAGAAGCATGTATACCACACATTCTTTTGCAGCATTGCTTATATGTTCTTATTTGTTATGTGTCTATTCATTCGATTTTTGACAAACTATGTTGACCTTAAGTTGGACCATCTTTTTCATGCATTGTATCCTTCGTTTAAGGAACTTTTTAATCAAGCTGATCGGAATGATATCATTTAGCCAAACAAATCATAGAGGGATTATGTGGCAAGTTGCCTTATGTATGATTCATGAAATGTATATGATACTCCCATAGTTTTGCCGTATTAATCAGACAACTAGAGTGTGTTAAAATTATTGTGCTTACTACTCCGCTATTGTATTTAAAATGATTATTCATATTTGGTTGTCTGTTGTTTGGCGGGCAACGCATGGCAAGCCGCGCCATCAAAACGTTAATTCCTACTAACTTAGCATTACGGGCTTGATTTTGGAATCGGCGCCCTCGCGCAAGGCACGATCCCGATCTAGTTGTACAAGGCCGCCGGTCGCCTTACGATATTGCGACGGCTCGGCACCGATGCATCGACCGACCGACAGACCGACGCAGAGCATCGTCCTATTCAAAACCCGTGACGAGCGCGATTCCAACGTCATCACGTCCCGTCCGTTCCCGAAATCCCCGTAATCCATCCCGTTTCCGTTCCACGAGTCCACCCCTGTCCCCTGCTCCCGTCTTCCCTTCGATTCGAACTCCCCTCTGACCTCTCCCCACACCGCGACTCAAATCTAGGGTTGCTTCGCTCGCTCTCCTCCGCTCCGCGCATGGCCGACCCGCCGCCCCGGGACGCGCACCCGGAGCAATCCCCCGCCACCGAGAAGCCCCCCGCGGCGCCTCTGACACCCGAACCCGAGGATGCGGCGGAGCAGGATGTCGAGTCGGAGGTGGATGAGGAGTACGTGAGCGACCCCGACGACGCTCTCCCGGAGATGCGTCGTCGGGAGGCCAGCGACGACGAGGGGTCCGAGGAAGGTAGGCGGCCTCCCAGGGCGCGGATCGACCCCGACCACGACGACGACGTCCAAGGTGCCCCGGAGGATTACGAGGGCGAAGTGGAGGAGGACGAGGACGAGGAATACTACGATGATTTGTTGGATGAGGAGGAGGTGGGCGAGGGGCTCGAGGCGGAGTATGATGACCACGCGGTGCCGCCCAAGGAGGTCACCGCCGGCCAGGGGGAGGAGGGCGAGAAGCCTGGGGAGGAGGGAGCGGAGGCGGAGGTTGAGGCTGACGGGGAAGAGAAGAAGGAGCAGGAGCCGTTCGCGGTGCCCACCTCCGGCGCGTTTTACATGCATGATGACCGGTTTCAGGAGGACGGCCGGGGCCGACGCAGGTGTGCCTTTCTATAAACTATAAACCTTCCCTCTGCAGCTCATAGTTTCTGGACAACTTGCAATTATTCGAGGCAAACTAAAATTTACAGAAGAAGGCTTAGGTGAAGCAGGGCTGGGTTCGTATCTTCTGTAGTTTGTTTAAAACAAAGCACTTCCATCAGCGTGAATATTCCACGAAATTAGACTTAATGTTTTGCAAAACAGGAAGCTCCAGTATCTATAGACCAAGGATATAGATTATCATCTGCATCCATCTCGTGACTTTTTTAGTTAATTGGAAGTGTTTGTGTTTTAATTTGGTTTTTTAAGATGCTGTTATGGTAGTAGAGACTATGACTGGCAAATGTAGTGTTATTTAGTCCCAACCTTTACTGATTACTAGTTCAATGATGGCAGTGTTTTTTTGACTTGAAATTGTGCCTCAAGAGGTTGTTATTAAGATTGCCTTAGGCATTACAATATGTCGGTTATAGGTTTTAATAAAATTATATTTCCAGTACAACCATGTTTGGAGGCATGCAATGTTGGAAAACCTTGTAGCTGTCAGATTCGTTATGTTTCCCCGACAGGGTTAGGCACATACATGTCCCAGCTCTTTCTGCCAAAATTATGCCTACATTGTTGGTCTGCAAATAGCTTGCAGTGTAATGGTAACTGGATATGGTCAGTTATTCTGTCACCACATGCATCCAGCTTCCTGGGAAATTTTGTGTTGCATTTGCGGTTGCAAGCTGGTATCTTGGTAAGAAGGGTCGACGTACTGTGGTGGCTGGGTTATTCAACATATGAACTTGTTGGCCATTGTCATGGTTTTGGCTGGGTTTTTGCAGTTTATGTTTAGTCAATTTTATTTACAGGTCTTGTTAGCATGCCACTGGTTGGAATATTGGATAATGTTGGCTGTAATTGTTGCTTAGCGGCTGTTTGGTTTACAGCCCTGAGGTGCCCGACCAAAAAATTGGTCGTTGACCAGCTGTAGGGTGCCCGTTTGGATGGGATCCAAATAATTGCCACGCCAGCCCGCCTCCCCTGTCCTCTCCTTCTTTTACGCCAATTTGTTGGTAAGGGCGAGGGCGGTGGAATCATTGGCCAATTTTTTGGCTCGCCAACAGCGCCAACGATTTGGCGGGGCTAACCTCGGCTGAAACCAAACAACCCCTTAGTCTTGTCCGGGACATATGCTGACATTTTTGTTATAAACTAGGCGAATGCTTGGTGGGAGGAAGTTATGGGATGCTAAAGACGATCAAGCATGGGTGCATGACAGATTTGAGGAGATGAACGTGCATGAGGAGCGCTATGAAGTAAGTACTCATTACCTTTGAATTTGATGTGCAAAAACATTTTTTTTCCAATATTGAGGTTAATTCTCTGCATTGTAGGATAAGCGAATGTCAAGAGGCCGTTTTAGAGGTCGTGGTAGTGGAGGTAGGACTAGAGGCACTGCCCGTGGATTTTCAAGAGGAGGGAGGTACCACAGTTATCACGAAGATAGCGACAACCAAAATCAGAGTGAAAACCAGAACCGGCCCCAAAAGATTGTCCGCGGGAGAGGACCCAGACGTTATGACACAATTGCAAAGAACAACCGAGATGTTGTCGGGTTCCAACGTAAACAGTAAGTAACAAATATCTTGGGACACTTGGATTCATATAATACTGCTTTGTTCAGTACAAAGTAATGTTTCTTTCACACACTTTTCTTGTCATCACTTGTTCAGACCAACAAGATCTCGCGAACCGGCTGCTCATTCTGCAGCGGCCAGAGAGCCTGGCCAAATTTCAAATGCACATTCGGAAGCAGTTCCTGCTAAGAAGAATGTTGTCAATTCAAGCTTAAATTCTGCGTCACCGCCATTTTATCCCTCTGGTGCCTCAAACCAAGTGGGAGCTCAAAGAAGGGACATACAACCAGGAGGTTCAAATAAGGTTCATCCATCTTCCATGAAGATGGATGACAACATGAAGCTACAATCTGGTCCAGTAGTTAGAGGGAAAGGAACCACGGACTATGGTGGACGAGATAGGTTTCATGCCGAGGGTCCTGTTAGACCATCTCCTGCAAGAAGTGTAGGAGGATCATCATACTCATCAGGGTTTGCATCATCATCAATCAATTCTGGTCAATCCCCTAATAACAGGGCTCAAGGGGGAAATGCAAGCATTGGTGTTCCTTCACATAATCGGCCCACACCATCATTTCAGCAAACTTCCAGGGTTTCTACGCAACAGCAAAATCATACCTCAATTATGCACCAGAAGTCAGGCCAAGCACCTAGTCAAGCTTCAATGAGAATCCCAACTCAGCAGTTGAGCCATCGGACAGGCAATGCTTCACCAAGTGCTCAGCACCTACCTGCTAGATCAACTGAAAGTGACGAGAATGGTTCATATCCTAGTTCAAATCAATCCAAGACATCTGAGGTGGAAAAAACCAACAAAGAAACTGGACGGGGCTCTTTCATGTATGGTGGAGCCCAGGTTATTGGGGCTGCTGGTCTTGCCCAGGGCGAGCAAAATTTTCCTGGCACTCCAGCTCTCCTGCCAGGTTTGCTTTCTTAACCATCCAACTTTCTTGTTTTCTGGTGATAGTTTATTGAGTAAAATGTACCCAAGGTCCTGAAATTATGAGGTGTGCCAGCCGGGTCTTATAACTATGAAAATGCACGTCTGGGTATGGTTCATCGCAGGTCCTATCTATGATTCTAGGCCTGACTTACCCGTGTGGTACATTGACTGGTGCCATCTCAGCTCTATTTTGCAAAAGATACCCTAGAAAACTATATCTTCTAGTTTTATTGTCCCCAACATCCCCGTCCCTCTTCAAGTTAAAAGCAAACACCTATGCCGGTGGGAGTTGGCAGGGTTGCTCAATGGGAAGTTCTTCAATGGGCCATTCCCATGGCCGGGCCATCACGCCTGATGCCGTGCAGAGTCAAGTAAGAAACAGTGCAGAGCTCACAGCCACTTATCTTCTATCTCTGCTCAATTTGGTCGCTTCTGCTCGCCAGTTTCTTCTCACAGTACAAAACCCCATTCCTTCCATCATCCTCCATACATAGGCGCCACTAGTATGAGAAACAATACCCAACAGCTTCTGCAAGAAACAATGAGAAACATCATGGAGAGAAGCCCCTGTGAGTCCTCATTGTCATTCTCCCCGAGGCACTTCAAGTAGCTGGTTCTCAGCAAGATCAGCAGACATGGTGCCACTAGTATTGCTGTTTAGGTTCTTGTCAAGATTCTCTGGTTCTGCAAGAAACAATGAGAAACATCATGGAGAGAAGCCCCTGTGAGTCCTCATTGTCATTCTCCCCGAGGCACTTCAAGTAGCTGGTTCTCAGCAAGATCAGCAGACATGGTGCCACTAGTATTGCTGTTTAGGTTCTTGTCAAGATTCTCTGGTTCTCAGCAAGATCATCCTCCATACATGGCTTTGTCAAGATTGTCTCGGATAAGCAGGCTGAGGACGAGAATGAGTCGCCCATGGCTTTCTCCTCCACCTGCCCGTTCTTCCACTCGGAGGACTACATGTTTCCTGCTCAAGCATCACTGCCATGTCGCTCCTGCATACGGCACTGGCTGCGGCTATCTCTGTCCAGCACCTGCAGGGCGCTTCCGCAAGCGACTCACCGGCAACCTGTATGGACGCTGACGCCCCCATGTCCACCTTGCCTTCCGGGTCAACAACCCGCACACGCGCTTGGCGCTGCTGCTGCGTAAATGGCCACGGGTTACGTACACATCGTGCTCGTGTGCCAGCGCTCCAAGGGCGCCTCCCCATGCCCCTGCAGTGGGCAGAAAACTGTTGGAGGAGATGGTGTGGCGCACGTACTGTAATGGCACGAGCTGCTGGTATGTGGTGTGATGTGAGTGCGGGGCTGCACACACGGGAGCCCATGTCCATGTGGGTGGAATCATACCAGCATCGTGCAGCGGTGGCAAAGGTGCATACGTGTGCAAAGCGGTCTGCCAGAGAACTTCCAGCTAAATAACCCCGCCAACACCGTTGGCTTATGTGTTGGGGGGAGGTTAGGCACAAGGAAATGAAAAGATATACTAGCTTTCTAGGTCCTTTTTACAAAATAGAGCTTACATGGCATCAGTCAACGCGTCACGCTGACAGGTCAGACCTGCATAGGACCTATGGTGAACCTCAGCTGACGTGCATTTTTATAGTTATTAATAGGACCCAGCTGACACACCTCAAATTTATTTTAGGACCTCTGATAGATTTCTAATTTAGTTTTTCTTCTAATCTAGTCACTTGGGCCATTCATTTCCTATTTATCCTTCACGCAGTGATGCAATTTGGCGGCCAGCATCCAGGTGGGCTTGGAGTTCCTACTGTTGGTATGGCCCTCCCTGGCTATGTGGCTCAGCAGCAGCTGGGAATTGGAAATAACGAAATGGCGTGGTATATTTCATTAGTCTTGCTATGTTTATCGTTCTGTCTGTTAGATTTTTATCACCGTCTATGAAATGATGTTTGTTGCGGTGGTACTCGATGTAGTCATGCAAGGGGTTTACAAGACAGTAAATGGATCAAGCCCAAACATAGTTTGCACTGAATCATTTGAATGCATGTATCTTCTTGTCTCTCACTTTTGACTACATCTGGCTTATCTTACTTTACTATGTCCGTAAACTATGACTTCAAGAGTTGCTGTGTTGCTGAAAGTGAGTTTTTTAGTTTCTCATATTTGAAATATGATAGGGGATACTTGATAGCTGAAATTGTTCACAATGTTTGTACATTGAGCTTATATGTAATTCCTTTTTTGTATTGTTCAAGCTCTTATTGATCTCTTCTCTTTTTTTGTGTCCCCCCCTGGACTTAATACTAATTCTGCTATTTTAGCCGAGAGCCACCTGTTATAATATTTGTACGTGTTTTTTGCTCTCTATCTTACAACACTTCTAAATGATGGCAATAGGTTGCCACTATTGGCTGGTGCAGCTGGGGCTTTTGGAGGATCATATCCACCTTACATTACCCTTGATCCAAGCTTTTACTCTAGGTCTTCAGGACAGACGTCGTCGTCAGTTCCATCCAGGTAATATTAGTGTTGACTAATTAACACGTTGTTCACCTTTTGAATCAGCCACTGTCAGAATGAGCCGATATTACTTCTTGTTAGCTGTGCAAACATGTAATTTGCTTTACTTGGGGTGCTCATAATATTTTCTCTGCCCCTGTTCCAACCTGATAATATAGCATATTTCACTATTTATCTGTTGCTTCATTCATGAAGGTTCCTTCTAAGCATAAAGGGTATTAACATATATTTATTTATTAATACAGGGAAGGTAATGTTAACCATGGGGCTAAATCTCCTCAAAACGGTAAGTTGTGAGATCCCCTGTTACGCCATACTGCTTAAAAACTCTTAGCATGTGCTACAATTTATAAGTTGTTTCATTTATCTATAATTTGTGATGCAGATATTGTGACTGAAGAGCTTGATCAGCGCCAGAACAAGCATAGGAGGTAAGATATTTTTACTCGGAAAATATTATTTTTGTAGAGCACTATGCACGTTTCAAAATAATTGAAGTTCTAGGATTGTGACCAAGTATATATAGAAATGTTTCAACATCTACAAAAACAAATTTATTTCATTAGATTCATTATGAAATATATTTTCATATTATATATATTTGATATTTTAGATCTTTGTGGATTTTTCTATAAAATTGGTCAAACTAAAAAAGGTTTTGACTTAGGAAAATCCTAGAACTTCAATTATTTTGAAATGGAGGGAGTATTTTTTGGACAAGAGCTGTGAGCTTATTCATGTCCTCTTGTACCGCAGATACTCAGAGATGAACTTCAGTCAGTGAAGCACCCTGTAAGGTGAATTTCATCTGAATAAGCTGCTTACGGTCAGTTGCACACGATTATTTTTTCTGATATTTCTTCTCTGCTCTGCATACTCATTGTGACATGAGCTCATCTTATGCAGGCCCTGTTGTAGGCCCTTTGTGATCTCTGGTTATGATCTGAGCACTTTGGGTGGCTTGGTGTCCTAAATTATATTAGGTACTGTTCTGTTCTGGCATTTTTGGTTCTTAACTTTCCAAGATAAATGCATTTTAAGTGAGCAAGGCACTGTTCCTCCGAGATGTTCCCCCTTTTCTCTGCTTTTCTCCTTCACCCTTCTATCCCCCGCATGCATCATCTCCCAATCATGTAAATCCTGACTTGGTGTTTGGATACCTGGGTTAACTATGATTTATGTTGTGGCAGGTCTTATAGATGCCTGCTCGTGCTGTAGTTATCTGATGGGGGTTGCTTCACAGCAGAGCAGGGGGTGCATTTGTTGCTTGAGTTGTGGTAAGCCTGTTTTTCAAGAGCAGCACTTGAGAAATGCACTTTAGAGTTTTGGTGAGAATGCAACTAATTGCGCATCATGAAGTTTTAGGTGTTGCTTGGTCGAAATGTCTTATTTGTTGGTGGCATCTGAAGACATGAGCGGTTGTTGAAGAGAGGTTTGAATAATGATCTGTGTTGATTGATAAAGAAAGGCAAGAAGGGCTTTTAGTACATTTTGTTAGTGACTCGAGTTTATGTCGGTATGAGTCAGATGTACCTATCTATCTATCCTCCAATAGTGGTATTGGCAAGAGCAAGGCTTTGTTGCTGCAGTTTGTATCTTTTGGAGTATGTGGGAATGTGGGTGAGATTCGTCAATTTTGTGCCTGATGAGTGCGCCCAATCAATTGTGTGCTACTTCGGTTCGATATGATCACATTACTAAGTTGACGGCAGTGTTGTCTCAGTCACAACCAAGTCACTCAACTGCTCGCCTAATCGTTTAGTTGGACGGATAGATCTACCAGCGACTTTGCTAAGGATCTTTTCTCTAGGTCGGTGGTTGATCTTCGTATCCCTAACAATATTGGTTGCCTGATGCATGTAGATAGTACCTCTATATATGTGAGTGACATTCATATCCCAGTAGACATGGCTTCAAAGATGGGTTTGAAGAAAGCTCTGCGTTGGATGCCACGTTCCTCTGCCAGCCCCCGGCTGGAGGAAGACGAAGACAACAACGAGAGGAACGGGCTGCTGAGGAGCCACCGGGATCAGAACCGGGTCGTGCCCGTGACGGATCTCCATGTTGACGAGCAACCCAAGGCAGGTGCGCATGTGGAGCCCAAGGTAAGCTAGCGCGTGATTCTGGAAACGCAAGCGGAAATTTACCTCGAGATGTGGCCGTAACTTGTGGCACCTAATGCCTTGCATTGGCATGGCATGGCGCAGACCGTGGCTCTGAAGGTGTCGATGCACTGCCATGGCTGTGCGAGGAAGGTCGAGAAGCAGATCTCCAAGTTCCACGGTAGGCGATCAGTGTAATACTACAAGTGTACATACTATGAGAGTATGAGTTGCCTCTTGTTGTGCAGGAGTTGTGTCCATCAAAATAGAGCTGGGGATGAAGACGGTGACCGTGGTTGGCAACGTGACCCCCATGCAAGTCCTGGAGACCGTCTCCAAGGTGATCAAGTACGCGCACATTCTGCCGCCGCCCTAGCGATGCTGTTTCCCGGTCCACTGTGTGGTGATTGCACTTTTCTTTGATGAAAACGATGAGCGCTATCCCTCTTTTCTCCCTTCTTCTTTTTTTTTAAACATTTTCTCCCTTCTTCTTTTAGCGCTCAATCTGTATCCCGAAAACAGAAAATCATATGTAGATTGCCATTTGAGGAGCCACCCGTGTCCTGGGCTCCTGGCAACTCGATAGTCTCATCTTTATCTTTACCTAATAATAAAGCAAATTGAGTTTTTTTCGTCTGTCATGACATTTTTCAAAAATGTCCCTCTATTTCAGAGAATTCAACCCGCTGTCCTGTGTTAAGTTAAAACGACGTTATTTTCATATTTTATACAATAGTCTCTGTCTTTTCTTAAAATCAACCCGCCATCCGGATTTAAGTCACACCTAAGCCGTTATTTTACATTTTTCGAAATCCCTCCTGATGTTTTAGGTAATTCATCTATGGATCATATTTAAGTCAAACAAATGCTTTTTAAAATAATCCATATCTTTTAGACCATAACTCCGATTTGAACATGTTATATATGTAATTTGATTAGAAAAATATATAGAATATGAATATGATATTATTTTTACCTGTTAAGTATTTTTAAATATTGTTTTAGAATATATTTGAGTCAAACCAAATGATTTTCTAAATTATCTGTATCTTTTAAATCGTAACTTCGATTTTAACATATTATATATGAAATTTTATTAGAAAAATATGTGGAATCTAAATATGATGTTAATTTTACCTGTTAAATATTTTTAAAATATTGTTATGAAAACAAACTTATAATTTATAGCGCAAGATTTTTTTATACCGATGATGATCCGGATTGCAAATAAACACCCTACTATAACCATGTAAAAAAAAGAAAACATCGATAACTACACATGCATACCTCTGAAAAATATCGCAGGGGAAAACAACATATTTCTCATCGCAAGAGTGAGAGAGAGAAAGCGAGCGAGAGAGAGAGAGAGGAAGGAGAGAGAGAGGAAGGAGAGAGGGAGAGAGAGACGCCTTAGGATTAACCATATTCAACACACGTTTTTTGTTGTTTTGTGTGAACACCGAGGCTATCGCCGGCGAGGGTGAGAAGAAGGATAAGCGGCAACACAAATATGATGCCTCGCAAAAATAAAGGAGATGGACCTATTGTGGTCTTGAGTGATGGTTGTTGAGTTAAGAGCGTGTGTTATGTTTTCTCTCCCATTGCAGCGCACGGGCTCTTTTGCTAGTCAATCTAAAATATGTTGTTTGTGGCAGACTCAGCCCACCATCAGGGTTTACTTGTGCTTGCACTTTTCTGAATTTATTTCATACTTCCGGTGATGTTCGTTCAGTGGGAGAGGGGAGACGTTTCTGTCGACTATGAAGACGCGTGCGATGACTTCGTCAATCTCAAAATGATGTGTCGGCTTTATCTCACAAAGGTGCTCATAGGGGTAGGGCGTACGTTTGTGCACATAGGATGAGTGTATGTTCGTATATATGAGCGTCTATGTTGGTGCCGTGTTAAAAATAATCTCAAAAAATGTATTCCGTGTTAGGTCATCTCCAACGCTGACCCTCGAATCACACGCATCCGTCTGGACCGAGTGGTCCGGACGCATTTTGACATCCAACACGGTACCTCATCGATCCGTGGACCGATTCGGACGTCCGTTTTCCCGCAAACTAGGGGCAAAGCAGGGAGCTTTATGGGCGTATGGACCACTGCCATGCACGCGCCAAAAACTTGGACGGGACTGCATAAACAATCCAATACAACGTGTCGCACACCTCGGTCACACACCTCGTCGATCACCACATAGTGGAACCACATGCCGTTCCTGTGGGCTGCATAAACAATCCAATACAACGTGTCGCTCCGTGGAGATACCGACGACTTCCTCAGACTTTACGCCATTATATGCATTGATGTCCACTTGTATCTTTGGACAATAGCTGGGTTGTCTGACTCCTATATTTACTCCCTACATTTCCGCTTGTTTGGCTAAGGGTGTACCGGGAACACTTCTATGATTGTTATTTCTGGTTGAACCAGTTAAGTACTTTAGGTGGGTGAAGCCGAAAGCTGGCTATCACAATACGGACAAATCAGTCGGCATGTCAAGAGTAGTAAAATTACATCTGCCAGGGATTGTTTGCGAAGGCATAGACTTTTCCTAGAAAAAGCCGAATTCATGCTTGGCTTGTTGGAAATATGCCATAGAGGCAATAATATTGTATTATTATACTTTTCATGTTCATAATTAAGAGTTTATAGTCTATGCCATAACTGCTATGATCCTGAAATATGCGATAGTGGGAAACCCATATGCACGCGTGAAATGATAAATGGTAAAATAAGGTTCCTAGTCTCGCCTCTAAGACTGGCTCAAGTTTCGTTGGTGCTCATGTTTTCCGGATTTTAGGATATTGTCAAGTGTAATGATAGTCCTAAAACAATATTAAGAGTATGACGTTAGAAGATAGATCATATTGAATCGACCCAAACTTGCTTGTCATACTGATTATATCGTCAGAAGTCAATTGTTATAACACAGAGTGTTAATGTGTGATTTAGTTCCTTAGAACATGAGAGTATCGTAGTCAACTCTTATCGCACGATAAACTTTGGGGTTGCTCAAACGTCATCTATAACACGGTGATCATAACGACAACTTACATGTTCATCAGTAAGTTTGATAACGGACTAGATAGCTCAAGAGTGGAATTAGCTCCTCCAACGATGGAGAGACATTCTTAGGGCCCTCTTGGTGCGACGACATTCATCATCGTCTGGCCAGACACAGGTGACTATGTCACGGGGATGCTCGAACATGTCTACGAGAAAGAAGAACAAACCGACAACGAGAAGACCGGTATAGTGAGCATGTGTATGACTCAAGAGGATACCGATATATCTCACTGATAACCCACAAGTATAGGGGATCAATCGTAGTCTTTTCGATAAGTAAGAGTGTCGAACCCAACAAGGAGTAGAAGGAAATGACAAGCGTTTTTCAGCAAGGTATTTTCTCCAAGCACTGAAATTATCGGTAACGAGTAGTTTTGTAGCAAGGTAATTTGTAATGGGTAACAAGTAAAAAGTGTAACAGAAGTGCAGCAAGGTGTCCCAATCCTTTTTATAGCAAAGGACAAGCCTGGACGGACTCTTATATAAGGCAAAATGCTCCCGAGGACACATGGGAAGTATCATTAAGTTAGTTTTCATCATGCTCATATGATTCGTGTTCACTACTTTGATAATTTGGTATGCCGGTGGACCGGTGCTTGGGTGATGTCCTTACTTGGACAAGCCTCCCACTTACGATTAACCCCTCTCGGAAGCATCCACAACTATGAAAGAAGAATTAAGATAAATCTAACCATAACATGTGGATCCAAATCAGCCTCTTACGAAGCAACATATAAACTAGGGTTTAAGCTTCTGTCACTCTAGCAACCCATCATCTACTTGCTACTTCTCAATGCCTTCTCCTAGGCCCAAATCATGGTGAAGTGTCATGTAGTCGATGTTCATATAATACCACTAGAGGAAAGACAACATACATCTCATCAAAATATCGAACGAATACCAAATTCACATGATTACTTATAACAAGACTTCTCCCATGTCCTTAGGAACAAAAGTAACTACTCACAAAGCATGTTCATGTTCAAGATCAGAGGGGTAATAAATATCATTAAGTATTTGAACACATGATCTTCCACCAAATAAACCAACTACCATCAACTACAAAGAGTAATCAACACTACTAGCAACCCACAAGTATCAATCTGAGTTTTGAGGCAAAGATTGAATACAAGAGATGAACTAGAGTTTGAGAGGAGATGGTGATGGTGAAGATGTTGATGAAGATTGACCCTCCCACGATGAGAGGATCGTTGGTGATGACGATGGCTTCGATTTGCCCCTCCCGGAGGGAAGTTTCTCCGGCAGAATAGCTCCGTCGGAGCCCTAGATTTCTTCTGCCCAGGTTCTGCCTCGAGACAACGACGCCTCGCCCCGAAAGCCTTCTTATGATGTTTTCTAGGTCAAAACTCTTCATATAGTAGAAGATGGACACCGGGGGCTGGCCAGGGGCCCCACAAGCTCAGGAGGCCCGCCCTGGGGGTAGGGTGCACCCCCAAGGCATGTGGCCACCTAGTGGGTCCCCTTTTGTTCTTTCTTCGCCCAATATTTTATATATATTCCAAACAATTCTCCATAAAGTTTCAGGACATTCAGAGTTGTGCACAATATGTATCTCAGATTTGCTCCTTTCCAGTCTAGAATTCCAGTTGCCGGCATTCTCCCGCTTCATCTAAATCTTGTAAAATAAGAGAGAAAAGGCATAAGAATTGTACCATAAAGTGAAATAACAGTCCATAATGCAATAAATATCAACATCAAAACATGATGCAAAATGGACGTATCAACTCCCCCAAGCTTAGACCTCGCTTGTCCTCAAGCGAAAGCCGAAATCGATAATCATGAACACATGTTTATGTTGGGAAACGTAGCATGCAATTTCAAAAAAAAATCCTATGCTCACCCAAGATCTATCTAGGAGATGCATAGCAACGAGAGGGAGGAGTGTGTCTACGCACCCTTGTAGACCGAAAGCGGAAGCGTTTGCCAATGCAGTTGATGTAGTCGAACTTCTTCTGGATCCGACCGATCAAGCACCGAACATACGGTACCTCTGAGTTCTGCACACGTTCAGCTCGATGACGTCCCTCGTCCTCTTGATCCAGCAAAGGTGTCAAGGAAGAAGATGAGTTCCATCAGCACGACGGCGTGGTGATGGTGATGGTGAAGTGATCTGCGCAGGGCTTCGCCTAAGCACTACGAAGATATGACCGGAGGCATAAACTGTGGAGAGGGGCATCACACACGGCTAACAATTGTTGGCGTGTGTTCTAGGCGCCCCCTCCCCACATATATAGGTGGGAGGTGGAGGAGAGGCAACAAGGGCGCCCTAGGGTTGGCCGCCGC